GACTGGGGTAATCTGGATGGGAGTGTCAGAGACAGTACGATTGGCACAGGACAGAGCAGAGTTTAGGGCTTTTGTACATAGGGTGGCTATAAGTCGCAAGCGACTCAATGGCACATGACAACAACAACAACATTGTAAATGTAAATGACAGAAGAAGAATTGATGCCCTCCAATTGTGGTGATAGAGAAGAGTCTTGAAATACCATAGACCACCAAGAAAACAAATAGGTCTTTCTTGAAGAGGGTAAAACCAAGTTTCTCCTTGGAGGCTAGGATTTTGAAGCTCTGACTCATATATTTTGGGCACACGTCCAGGAGATATCGGTCCTTGGAAAAGAGCATCATGTTCCATAGGGTGGAGGGACAGAACAGGACAGGAAGATCCTGGATGAGATGGATTGATACAGTTACTAGGGTAGGGGGAGTTGGTGTGTCAGAATTAGTGAGACTAGGATAGGGCAGGCAACAGAGCTGCTGTACATAGGGTCACTATGAGTCACAGGAGATTCAATGGCATATAAACATCAACGATGACATCGTAAAAGGTATTGGTTGCTTGGTTTCTTTCTCTGAGTTCTCTTTGTTACTATAGAGGAATCCCACTAATTTTTAGATAATTGATCTTATATCCTGCCACTCTACTCAACTGGTCAGGTTTTTTTGTTGAGTCCCTGGGGTTTACTGTGTACATTTTCATATCATCTGCATATAGCCATATTTAACTATTTTCTCTTTTCTAATCTGGATGCCTTTTATTTCCTTCTTCTGTCATTTTGCCCCAGCAAGCACTTCCAGCACAATACTGATTAGAAGTGGTGACAGTAGGCATCCTTGTCTGGTCCCTGTTTACAAGGAAAAATGCTTTTAATCATTCTCCATTGAGAATGATGTTGGCTCTTGGTTTTGCATATATACTTTTCACTATGCTGAGGAAATTCCATTCTATTCCAATTTTGCTGACTGTCTTTATGCCTTGTCTGCATCAATTGCTAAGATCACACGGTTTTGGTTATTTGCTTTGTCAATATTGTGAATTACACTGATTATTTTTTGTATGTTGAACCATCCTTACATACCTGTTGTAAATTCCATTTAGTCATGGTGAATTTTCTTTTAATGTGCTTTGGGATTCTATTGTTGTTGTAATGTGCCATCAAGTCACCTGTGACTCATGTTGTTGTTGTTATGTGCCATCGAGTTGCTTGCGACTCACAGTGACCTTATGTACAACAGCCCTAAACCCTGCTCTTTCCCTTGCCAATCTTATTGTCTCCAACATACCCATCCCTATTACCCCAGTCACTGTATCAATCCATCTCATCGAGGGTCTTCCTCTCCTGCATTGCCCCTCCACCCTCCTAATCATGACGTCCCTCTCCAAGGACTGGTGCCTCCTTGCAACATGTCCAAAGTATGTCAGACAAAGCTTCGGAATCCTTGCCTCCAAGGAGCAGCCTGGCTTCACCCTCTTCAGGACGAAACTGTTTGTTCTCCTAGCTGTCCATGGTATATTCAATACTCTTCTCCAGCACCACAGCTCAAAGGTATCAATTTGCCTTCTATCATCCCTACTCATTGTCCAGAATTTTGATGCATAGCAAGTTTATTGTTTTCCAATGCTGCATAATATTACGTTGTGTGAATGTACCAGAGTTTCCCTATCCATTTGTTTGCTGATAAACACTTGTTGTTGTTAAGTGCCGAGTCACAGGCAATTCATAGCGACCCTATTAAGGAGAGTCCTCAATGTCCAATAAACATGAGTGTGCATAAATCTGTTTGCATCATAGCTGTAAATTCCTTAGGGTGTATTTCCAGGAGTAAGATAGCTGGGTCAAAGGGTATTTCCATTTTCAACTTCTTGAGAATGCACCAAACTGTCTTCCATACTGGTTGTACCATTTTACATTCCCACTAGCAGTGAATGAGAGTTCTAATCTCTCCACACCCTCAACAGAATTTCTTATTTGCTCTGCTATTGAACTTGCTTTTGTTGCTTGCATGAGATAATATCTCACTGTTATTTTGATTTACATCTTTCTAATGCTATTGCTATGTGCTGTAGAGTCATCTGCAACTCATA